CTTCACTCTCCTTCTCTATTGCTCCTTGTCCTTTTTGCTGGTTGCTCATCAACCAGCCTTTCATACTGCTTGTGGTGCTCGCACCTTCCACTTCCTCATGATCCTTTCGTTTTTCCTCTCTATAGCTTTGCTTACGTCATTGTTGTTTCGAGGCCTCTCCTTCTTTCTCGTCTATCTACCGTTGCTGATATTGCTCTCTGCAGTTCCCTTACATAATCTCATTCTGAAGCTGCTTCGTCTAGTAAAGCTTCAAGTAGTCATGGTCTTCGTCCATTTGTTCTGCCATCGACTGCGTGGAGGAAGGGCACCGTTGCTTCTGCCACGAACAATTGCCGATATGCAGTTCATGGCAGAAGTGTAGCACCTGTCAGTTTTCAAATAGGTCATCGAAAGTAGCACAAGAATAAACAAAGGAAATAGTAGCGGGGGATATAAATGAGTGATGTTACATGTATGAGATGTTTACTTAGATTTGTATGCTAAAGCTGTTAGTTTACTGAAATAAACCTTGTGAATTTTATGACCTCTCGAGGCCATTGTTTTCTTTGTCATTATTCCTATATGTCATGATTGCCCAAAACAATTGTATGTGGGAGCGAAGTGTTTCTTTTGCGGCATCGTTGAATCCGGTTCTTAAGAAATTTCACACGTAGAACATTTTGTTAAACTGTTTGGTCATTCTCAGGTTGCCAGGCATCAAACAATGTCAATTTCAAGTTTATGGATGGGACAGGGATAAATTAAGCTATTTATGTCGTAATCATTAATACCAGCCTTTCCATGTAAAAGGAAAATTCCTAAACCTTATTGAATAAGACTAGGATTTCTCAAAAAGATAAATTTGAAATAACCCTCGTAATAGTAAGAAAGTGGATTTTTTAGCTATAAGCCTAGCAAAAGAAATTGTTTTTTACTAGGTAATCAGTGTCCTTATACATGAATTCCGACTGCCCTGCATATGGATTGAATGGGGTTAACCCAACCAGTAACCAAAGCCTTATGCAATATTTGTACACCCAGAAATAGGCGAGTTACATCTTAGTTCAACTTGGAACTAGAAGTCTTCATTTTGTTTTTGGACGGTGAAAGAAGACCAAGCTTACGAGATATTTGGTTTCATTTTCAATACGTCGAAAAAGTCCGGTTTGGTGCATGGGATAAATAAAAACATTTTTTATTTTATTTTACGCTGAATACGTTGGACAAGTTTAGAAACTTGATAGTCAAGATTCAACAGTTGGATTTAGACCGATTGGAAAAATTTATAGACATGTCATTTTCGTAAGTCCGAAAATTTACGCACTTGAAAATTTCTCTAGAGACCAAAGTTCCCATGAAACTTGACGTCCGCTACCTAAATATTCTACAATTTGACTTCTGCCAACAAAAAAGGGAGGAATTTTCTTTTATAGGAGTCATAAGTGCAGCGTTGAAACTTGAAACTAGTATTTTCCATTTGAGAAGTCGCTCAATAGATAAATATGAAATCAAACAAGTTCTCTTTCTAATAAACTATGTATACTCTTTTTTTAATAATAATGTAATTACGATACTTCATAACACAACACGGTCGAGGTAGAATGATACCTATGCCAAACGGGCTCCGTACTCCATAACTTGCAGTATTCTCTAAAAAGCATCTAAAAAACCATCTTGTTCTAAATACGTGATGTGAAGATGTTCTTAACACAAGACTACCTTTTCTTTTCTCATAAACTTTAAGTAAATGATAGGGTTAATACCACGAAAAACCTCAAACCGGCACATTTATGACAAATTTACCCCAAACTAATATTTTGACCTCCAAAAACCCCAAACTGGTATATTTATGACAAATTTACCCTCTGTTAAATTGAATTAATACCACAAAAAATCACAAACCGATATACCTGTGACAAACGGAGCATAAAATCACAAACTGGTACACCTGTCAACTACCACATGTTTTTCAACTCAGAAATTTGACGGTAAAATTTAACGAAAACTAACGGAAGGTAAAATTATCATGTGTACTGGTTTAGGATTTTTTGTGGTAAAAAAATTAGTTTTTGATAAATTTATCACAAGTGTACCTGTTTGAAGTTTTTCTTGGTATTAACCCTAAATGATATGCTATCTCTACTCTTTGTTAATGTTCCGTAAACAGTGTACTCTTTTCAGTAAACAAATGTTCATACTGTCTAGCGAGTGTTTTGGCTTCATCTTTATAATTACACATCATTCTCAACCAAAGGCCAAAGACTCATCAAACGAATTTATATGAACATTTAGGGTGCGTTTCTTTCGCGAAAAACTTAATGATAAAACAAAATGATTTTCCGGAAAGCATTTTCCAGAAAACGGTTAGTTTTCCTTTGTTTGGTAATATGTCATCGAAATCATTTTCTAACGTTTGGATTTTATTGAAAAATAATTTCAATCTCATGACTTTATTTCAAGCAAAAAAAAAATCTAAATTTTTAATTAATTTTATTTTAATTTATTTATTTTAAAAATTGAATTTTTAATTATTTTTTCTTTTTAAAAAAAATTCGAATTTTCAATTTTTTCTTTTTTTCTTTTCTTTTTCTTTTTTCTTCTCTTTCCTTTTCTTTTTTCTTTTCTTTCCTTTTCTTTCTCCTCCTTCCTCTGCCGCGACCGGCTGGCGACAACCCGGCGACGGCCCTGGGTGAATTCGAGCTCGCCGTCCTCGAGCGAGCCGCGAGCCCGAGCTTGCCAGGATCGGCCAAGCTCGGGCTTGCCTGGATCTGCCGAGCCGCGAGCTCGCCTAGATCTACCGAGCCTCTAGCTCGCCGGCCTAGGGCGAGGTCAAGGCAAGGTGGAGGTGGCAAGGTCCAAGCGAGGTGGAGGTGGCGAGGTCGGGCCTCGCGCGACGCCGGTGAGCTCGAGCTTGCTAGATCCCGGCGAGGCTCAACCTTGATAGATCCCGGCGAGCTCGGTCTCACCTGAGGCCAGCAGTCGCCGGCCCGCGCTTGTGGCCGATCGCCGGCCGCCGACCAGCGGAGGGAGGAAGAAGGCAAAAGAATAAAAGAAAAGAAAGAAAAGAAAAGAAAAGGAAAACAATAAAAAATAAAAGAAAAAATAAAATATTAACAAATTTAAGATAATCAATTCCGGAAAGTATTTTTACCTTCTTAAAGCAAGAAATTCACTTTCCTAAATTTATACATGGATGGTTTTATTGATCGAAAAGTGTTTTCGGTTGATCAAATCATTTTTGAACGATCAAATGGATGAAAGTCCAGAAAATACTTTCTTAGAAAATAATTTCATCAAAACAAACGCACCCTTAATTTTATTCTAAAAGGGAGGAGTTCTTCAACGCAGCAAGGCAGCCAGATACAATGATTTGGGTGAACATATCCTGTGGGCGATTAGACCGTATATGAATTTGAGCGGATAAATCATTGCCATGTGAACATACCCAGTGGTCAAAGAAGCCGAAACTCGAACATGACATTTGCTTAGAGAATACAAGGAAGGAGCTGAAACTTGACCAAAAAGATGACCGATCTCGTTAATTGCTTCGTCACGGTAGATACAATATGAAATTACATTTCATTACTTTACAATACGTTGGTACACTTTCATAGGGTATTAATTTGAGCGGCCTACAAAGCAAGTGTCATCGTTGGTCCACGTCTGTACGTCAGAGCTGACAAGAGTAAAGCTAACGATTGGAAACGGAGCGACCACTGGTTGCGTACGTAAGCGCCGGGCCCACTGATGACGTAAAGCTGCAGCGCCTCGGCAAAAGTAATCGTTAGTTTATGTCTGAATGTGAGGGTTGAATAGAGAAAAAGCCAAACGATTGGAAAATAGACAGCTAAAAAAGTGCAGTCCAACCGACGTGGGGCCTGTTTGGCTTTATCGCAAATAGAGAGGAGGGCGCCTTGAAACTTGTCACGACATATTCGAATTTAGTCATAATTACTCCATATTAACCGTGATCTGAATGTCCAAGATTATGAGCTCGTTGTCATAACCCACCAGAAAGTTAGCAATTAGAAAATTTCTCGCACGAACATTATGTAAGAAGGAAAAAGCCATATTAACGACTTATCTAGGTTGATTTTTGCTCTCACTAATTTAGATTTTACAACGCACAGACATTTTTTAGGTACAGCGAAATTTTTACTACGCTTAAATTTTGACACTTGAATCTATATATAATTTTTTCCTATGAATTCTTAAAATTTGAACAATGAGAAAAGGACACTTAAATTTTGACAGTTGAATCTATATATGATTTTTTTCTTTCAATTCTTAAAATTTGAATAATGGAATACGTGTATGGATTTAGAACTGAATTGGCACAATTGAAATAGGTTTATAACTTTTTCAATGATTTTCTCATTAATGACGTATACAGCCACATCAACAAAAAGAGGTCCCATGGCTGAGCCGGATTGCCACATCGTATGCCAATCACACCAAACTAGCCTATAAGACTAGATTGGGTAAATAGGAAAGAGCAGAAGGACCAAATTAGCCAAAATTAAAGTCGAAGGACAAAATTGAACATTGAAAAGTATAGGTACTTATCATGACGTTTTCCCAATTTTTTTGTCAAGTAGAAAAAAACTTACTTTTGAACCTTTTTAAGCCACAGTAAATGGACGGACTTAATCTTGTTTCTCATGATTTTGGGCACTAAGATCCTTGAAACTTTGCTAGTAATCAAACAACACTGTCCAATTTCTTGCATTTTCTATCGAAGACGACAGGTGATGCACATCTGTTTTTGTTAAGATTAACGTAATTCGTTATGCACATCAGCCCAGTGAGCCCCGTAAGACGACGTGTGATGACTTAACATTCAAAATAGATGGAATCTAAAGCAAGGATCATTTTTGCCTCGCGACTGAAAAAGTTACGCTTAGGTGTAAAATGTTGGACTTTTTCATGGGATCTGTTGGACTAATCATATCAACTAGGCAAAAGTTCAGACCAGTAAGGCCATTCCAAGTGCACTTCATACACGATTTTGTAAACCAATATGCACACATCAAACAAAAAAAATTGATCTTTTTTTTTCTTGTCCATCAGTTTTACATCCGGAATATTCACAAATGCAAGATATGAAACAAACATATATTTTTCATACTATCCCAGAGATTAAAAAAAAAACCACAGTACTTTACCAACGCAGGATATAAAACAACCATTACTGTATAGCTGAAAGTACAAGGGGCCTAAGACATACATGTATTTGTCGCCCCTGGTGTAGATCTGCTAGCTGGTATGAGCAGAGACCATCCTGATCCAAACCTCTAGCCGTGAGTTCTCTTATTGCCTTCCAAGCAAGTGATCCATTACTCTGCACAAGAAAAAGTTTATAAAATACGAAGAGATGACTTAATCACTAGAAAGAGGAGCTCAGCCTGCAAGATCCTCTCATTGATGAGAACATGAATAGATTAGCTACAGCATGTTAAAGTATAAAATTATTCTATGCAAAACACTGGATGTGAAATACCATAAGTTCGAAAGCAACAGAACCACAAGCCCACCCGTAGAATCAAGGCAATGAAAGAATAGTTCCAAGAGAGTTTTTGATTCCAAGTCATTAAAGTTCGTTGTATAGGATGGAACACTAAGCATTGAGTAAATATGACAGCTTAGAGGATCCACAAGAGACTGGTTCATAGTACAAATCTCAGCAGGAGAATTTCATTCTCGAACTAAGGCTGACTAATCCATATTAGCAGAAATAAGTCCCGCCACCACAAAATTGATGATAAATAATGCATACTTTTAGGCCAAGAAAAATACAATTCGTTCCACAAGGAGTGAGCTGACGGGGAGTTCTAAGTTTTATCATCATTTGCCTATGGCAACAAACTTTCCGTACAATCCTCCTAACTTGATAGACCTAAGGAAGCTATCCAGTGAATTTTATCAGATGCAAAGTCTAACTGAGAACTCCACCATATACAAAACTAACAAGTTCAGGCATTTCTGAGAATTAACGGAGCATGATCCTGCTGAAAACATTTTATCAGTCACATACATACATGTACGCGGTTCACCTAAGTGTATCAATAAAAGGTTTCATAAAAACATGCCCAGAAAGGTTCAAGTCTGAACATAGCCATGACCATCTCATTAAATAAGAAATAACTAGATGACTGATCTTGTAAGCAGAAAAGGGGAAAAAGTAGATGCCTAAACCTTAGACAAAGACAATTATAAATATTGATAAGTTTAACGTTAAGGCTTACCCTTAAATGATCAGAGAGGATGGACGGGGTGATGAGCTTATACTTGGGTGCCTTGGACAGAAGCTTGTCCTAAGTTGCCTGGTCAAACAGCACCATGTTGTTCACCTTCTCCTTCTGGTTTCCCTTGGTCCATTTCTGCTCACCAATCTAATCCAAAATGACCCAACTAAGCCGACATCAACAAAAATTTAAGTAGCATGAACATATAAAATATGTTCTTTTTTCATCTCATTTTTGCCTGAAATTGCAGAGACCAATCGCTAAAACACTCGCCAGTAAAAGCAATCTATCACTAACAAGAAAAAGAACAAAAATGAAGGCCCATTCTCTCTTCGATAGCTCAACTTAAACCTACAGCTTGTTAGTCGCTCCCCAAGGACATTTGCTGCAGTCGCAATATCAAAACTCTCAGAATGAGTGAGAACAACATTGAGTCAGCCAGGAAGTGGCCTAAGCTCAGCAGGAATACTTTCCCATGTTTTTCTACCCATTATGACTGCATTCTTTTTCCCAGGATTAACTGTTGAGAGAGTAATGCTCTTAAAATATTTGAGATGAGAAGGCAGCCTCCAGGGAAGTGTTCCATCCTTGCCTATACACTCAAGTTGCAGCAACAACAAGTTGGTAAGTCCTTAAGGGATCAGATGGAGTCCCATTGCCGTTGTCGTTAGGAAGGGTCACTGAGACTTCACCGGCCATTACGGAACTCAAAGGCTAAAAACAACCAAAAGATAGCAGCTTGAAATAAAGGCTGCACAACCAACTTCTTTGGAAGTGCGGCAGAACCTGAAAATTGTTCGGAAAGAAGATAGATGCCATTAGATTAGAATTGCAGATATATATGACACCAGAAGAGGAGTTATATTTTTAAAATCTAAAAAGAACAGTTGAAAGTCTGAAAAACTGTAAGGTATAGTGGTAACAATGGAATCCCTGAAATCCGTGACACTAACAGCTGAAAATTATGCCCACAGATCATTATCTCAGAAAAAAGTAGTGCCGTTTATGAATAAAATAAATCAACCGAGCTGTACAAATCATTAAACAGAGAAAGCCTCCTTGCTAAGCTGGATTTCTATTGCATCACTTGCACTTTACTCGACACAGTGGTGGAAAATTCCAAATCTTAGTGCCTCTCTTTTGGCATCACATTAAGGCAGTAACCATGCGAGTTGAAGATTCATCTTTCAACTTTCAGGCAAAAGCATCTGAATTGAATAATCCTCAAAATTGTTTCTCAGAGGGATCAATTAAAAAAAAATCCCTTTAGCAAGAATAACATTTTCAGAGAGCAGAGTGCAGCACAATAGAGAAAGGAGAAACATTATAAACGAGTCTTCTCCAATCTTTTCGGATTATCACAATCCATTATTGCTCAAAACAAATAGAGGGACACTTAAACCCTAGCAAGCCAAATTCAGCATCTGAGGAATTCACAAATGAATCGAGAAATTCTCACAGATCTTCCCATGAAACTCAGTCTGAATATTCCTAGTCATTGTGTTATCCCCTCTAACTCTATGCCAAGACCAAACATCAAACATGAGTTCCCAGACAATGGAACTGAAAAACCCAGCATTAAGACATTCGCCAAGACAGACAACAGTTGAAAGTGAAAAGTAAAAGCAAATCGCTCCAAAGAAAAACAAAACTCGCTAGCTAATACAAACCCAGAAAAATCCATAATGCAGATCAAAAAATGCTCACCGATCTGCACCCGAACCGCAAAATTTTGAATCGCAGCGAAACTAAATGCACAGGAACGACCAATGGGAGCGACCTCGACTGCATCTCACTACCAAGAAGCGATAAAAAAAGTTAGGGCTTTCTTCCCTCTTTCATAGTGTCATTCATCGGGTTACAATAGACAAGACACTGGATACAAATACGAAAGACAAGAAAATGCAAATACGAAAGACAGGAAAATGCGGCGATGAAAAGAAATTACATTAACAATGAACAAGGCACATCCAGTACATCTGGTGTGGGCTCTTGATATGAATCGATGCTTTATCCAAACAATTATCTTTGGGATTATAGTAGACTCCCCTTCCGGACGGAATAAATATCTTGTCATTTCGAGCCTCTCCATGAAGCTATAATCAAGAGACAACTCAAATTCAAGAAAATTTATCCCTTTTGGGAGACAAGCGTCCTACACCAGTCTATCACACTACGCTACCTCAAATCCTTAACCTACAATACACAACAAGACTCTCTGGGAGGTGATTGGATCCAAACAAGATAACAAACATCCCATAGTTTTATAACTTTGTAATCCCCTGCCTACTCTTTTCTTTATTTCTCCTTGTGCCACAGACATGAGAAAATATTCGGGGGTTCAGGAGCGCCACATTAATGGCTGACATGACACGCGCTTATTTATTTTGAACTAATTACAAATTGACACATATGAAATCAGAGAAATGAAATAAAAATTCCCAAATCCATCTGGATTTCTCTTTTCCTCTTCTTCCGTCTGCAGCCACAAGCCCAACCTCCGGGCCTCCTTCCGCCGTCGCCACCGGCGGAGTCGGAGCTGCCGGTGCCGCATCTCTCCAGTTTGGCCGTCTCCTCCACCCAGTGCCTCACTTCCAGAACTGGCGTCCTCTCCCCTTCCACCACTCGTCAGAGAATCCACGGACTGTAAATGTATGCCAAATCTGGAGCCTTGACAACGAGAGACCACGGTTTGTCCACACGCGACAACGGAGGAGAGACGCGGAGGTCGACGAACTTCCAGATCTGGAACCGTCGTCGCCCACGGCCATGACGCCAGATCTGGAAACTCGGCCGCGCGCCCACCGCTCGGCGTCTCCAAAGCTGCCGCTCAGCCGCCGGGACGACAGAGAGGGTGGACGCGAAGGTCGGCCAAGACGCGACGGTCCACCGTCGCTCAACAGTCGGATCTGGTCCTGCTGCTCAACAGCTTTGAGCTCGAGTCTTGGCTCGTCTGCAGGCCGTGGTGGCCACGGTGGGGTCGGTGGCTCAGGAATGGAGGTTGTGGCAGCTTAGGCGGTGGAGGTGGAGATGGCCAACCCCGGGCCGAGCGCGGATGGGGACGAGGAGGGAAAGAGAGATTTGTTTTTCAATCTCCAAGCCAATATCCGTAAGTGTCCAGATATAATTGGATATTAAGAAATAAGCGCAAGCCATGTCAACAAACCACTAACACCGGCCAGTACTACAATTCTTACATGAAACGTGTATCAGCTACCGTCCGCGGCAGAAAGTCCGTTCCTCGACGGCGGAACAAACGGACAAATAAGATTACTAGAATCTTTTGTTTGAGCTTTTGAATAAGACTCCATAAGTGAGCTGTAAAAAGCATTATCAACAACGGCAAATAGAGAAGAAAGAAGGAGAGTCCTCAAAACAACAACGATGTGAGGAAAGCTATAGAGAAAAAGGAAAGGATCCTGAGAAAGAGAAAGATGCACGCACCGTGAGCAGTTTGAAAAACAGGTAGACGAGCAACAAGTGGAAGGGACAAGAAGCAATAAAGAAGGAGAGTGAAGATGGTGACGGGATGGGTGTCAAATGGAGAATCCGGCGTCCTCTAATATTTCATGATAACGAAGTTAACCAGAACTGGAACAATGAAGGTGACAATGGCATCGATGTTGTTCCATTGATCCGGCACAAAAATTGGCATTCTTGAATGTGTATAGATGTGGAAAACAGGAAGGAGAGACAGAGCTGCAGGAACAGGGCAAACGTATGCAAGAATGGTGTGTAGTGTGTAGAGTATGTCTAGAAGAATGGTGTTTCTTTACACCTTTTGAGGTTCTGTTGTGAGAAGAACATGAAGACAAGACGTAAATTTATAAATTAGGGGAAAAAAGGGGCCCCTCTAAAGGGAGACGGATATCTAGGACTGAAATCTGCATCCTCTAGAGGGGATGACTTTGGGTTATGCGGTTTTCTTGGTGGACGAAGACCCACTCAAAATGCGCCATTAGAAAATTCTATTGCAAACAATACTTCGCGGCAACTCTCTTAACGTGTACATCTTTCTTTCTTGTACACTTTTTTTTCTCGTTGTCTTTCACTCACCCAATAAGTTCCATATAAATTGCAGCCCCATTGTTCGTCCATCCCTTCACTCACCCGACCCGACCCGATCGTGCGTGTAATATCCTGAAAATTTGATCTATTTTGGTGATATATGAAATGGTGATTTTATCGATGCTTTATTAATTAATTCTCGCCCTAACCTGATCACCTAGGGAATACTAACCAAAGGGAAAAAGCTATTGATAATTTATTTCTAAAAGCCACCCGCTAGTATGAGATGTACTATAGTTGCAATTGATTGTTTTCAATCACGAATTACGATCCGATTTCAATGTCGAATTCTCAAGGATTTACAGACCGAACCTTAGGATGTCGCCTCATTATTCTATGGAATTGCCCTTGAAATTTTCAATCTCGGAAAAGAATCAAAGAATCGGGAATTTGACACGAAAAACGGAAGTGGGCCGAGCAAAGCCCATTAAGCCTCACGCTCAAGAGAAGCCGGCCATCAAGGCCCGATAAAAGATAAGTCAGCCAGCAATCGATACATGGGCCAAGGATAATGTGGTAATTTTAGCAGGACAAGTGTTAATTAAAGAGGAATTTTGGGAGATATTTTTGCGGGATAATCATTGGACCCTCTCTCTCTCTCTCTCTCTCCTTCCCTTTGGCTTACACTACCGGCTCCCACTAGCTTACCATCATCTCTCTTCTTCTTCTTCTTCTTCTTCTTCGTGTCTTCTTCTTCCTTCTTGGCTCCTCCATTTCCAGCCCGCTGGACCAGTCCATTCTCGCCGGACCAGCCACCGCCGTGCATTGCTCCTCCTCGCCACCACCCCACCGCCATCTCAGCTTTCTTCCAGGCTGAGCAGCTCTGTCCCAGCTGGCCCGAAGCTTCCCGTCGCCAGCTGTTTTCCTCGCTGGGTGCAAGGCGCCGCTTGTCGGTTCGTTCCGTTGACTAAAGCCGCTCGTCCACCGTTGTTCTGACCACCAAGACGCCACCACCAGCCACCATTCCGTCCTCGACTCAGCTCTCGAGCCGCCACTGAACCGCCACCAGCCACCGCCGCTCCGTCACGCTCGTCCACCACCGTTCACGCTCATTGAACGTGTCCGCAGCTGCAGCTGCTGGTCTGCCATTGCCTAGGCCGCCTAGTCGCCGCCACCAGCTGCCGTTCATGCTTGGAATAGCCCCGAGCAGCCACTGACCAGCCACCAGCAGCCGCTCCTTCGTCGCTTTCGTCTGCCGCCCGTTCACCGCTCGCCGTGCCAAGCCGGAAACCACCGCGGATAGCCTGCGTCGTCACCATCGTTAGACAAGTAAGTTAACCCTTAATCCCTTGTTTAGGGTATTAAACTTGCTTACGATAGTTTAGATTAAGTTAATGGTAGGTAAGTGTTTATTTAATTATGATTAGGTGATAGGTTATCGGTAAATCATTAGATAACCTTTGGTGATAGGTTATCGATGGATGATAGGTTATCATTGAAGATGGTGATAGGTTATCGATAATTGACCAATAAGTTATCGATAATTGAGTGATAGGCTATCATTATATATGTGATAAGCTATTGATGTGTGTACGATAAGCTATTGCTAATTTGATGATAAGTTATTAATTATTTTATTATTAATATTTCTTTTATTAAATAAATTTATTTTCGGAATTAAATATTAATAATTTATTATTTTAAAAATATATTTTTTGAAAATTTAATATTAATATTTTCGAATGATTTTAATACCGAATTGTGATCGTTTTATGCTTTGATTGTGATTCCAATGTTGGACTTTGCCGTATAAATTAGCGTATATAGCTAAATGATTTGAATGATTATTTTCAAAAAAATTTGAACTTTTGAAAATAAATTATTTTATAATTATGTTTGAGAAATGAGTTTGATGCCACGAAAAGAAAAGCATGTTTCGAAATAATGTTTTTACAAAATCAAGTGACAGTTTGTATATGCGATCACGTGGAAATGATGATGTGGCATTTGTTGACAACTGATTTTTAGCTCATTTTTTTAAATTTTTACAAAAATTACAAAATTAGGATTAGAAACCTTGGCCAAGCTTAGGAATCTATTTTTAAACCAAAAATAAAAATTTTAAAATTTTCCTGAATTTTTTTTAATTTCTTTTGGTCAAAATAAGGGTGAAAATCAAGAAAAATAGCAAATGGAGTCCAAAAATTCCATAAAAATAGTCATTAGTCTTCTTTTAAATCCAATTTCATTAATACAGCATCAATTTTGGAAAATTTCAATTGGGAATGTGTTTTTCCCAAAATTGGGTAAAAACAACCCCAAATTTAATCAAAAATTCAATTAATTCATTTCTAGTCATTTTTTGATCATAGTGTCTTCACAACAAATGATCCTGGAGCCTTGAACTACATAATAGTCAGTCCAATTGCACAATTTATGAAGGAAATCAAAAAGCCCCAAAATCCAATTGAAAATTAGGGATTTTTAGCCCAACTTGGGGATCATTATCAATTTGAAATTGTCGAACCATAAGACCATCATTTCTAGGGTTAATCAGTCATGGGTAATCCAATTTTGGCATCAATTTTGCTCAATTAGGTCATTTAATTACTTGATTGAATAGAATCCTAGTCACTCGGATTTTAAAATTTGAGAATTTTTGTTTTAATTGTGAAAAAAATTAGGGCAAATCTCATATTTTGATGCAAAATGTGCCAAGGAATTCAATTTTGAGGTTAAATATGAAAAATTGGGTCAAAATCGGGCTTAATTTGCGATTTTAGACCAACCCGGGTTTGTCGGGTCGGCTGGGTCAACTCGACGTGATCCAGGTCGGTCTCCTTCCTTACTCGACTTGCCCAGAACGTGGTAAAACCCAAAAAAATCAACTTGTGCCCGTCTTTTCGCCGACTTAATCCAGCCAAATGAGCACGTTTTAAAACTCCGATGCTAGCTGGAGATTCTCCGGCTGGCATCGGAGATTCAATCCAACTGATTCAAGGTCGGTGAATAACAAACTTTGGGCGGGAAATTTTAGCTAGAAAGCTGAAGAAACATTGTCAAACGCACAAGAACTGCCCAAGAGAATTCCCAAGAGAAAGAAGGAGAGAGAACGAGAGGGAGAAGAAGGAATATTGAACGGAGTGTGAGTTGAGGTTTCCCGAACCGAGTGATCGGCGCTTTCCTGGCCAAAAAAGCGCCGGCAAATCGGTCTAGGTGGTGAGCTTCCTCACCTAAGACGGTCAGTGAGAGGTTGATCGCCATTGCCTGAAAGGTCAGCACCGGCGTGTCCAGAGCCCTTTCGGCGAAGCTAAGACCACCAGTTGGAAGTCCAAGTGACGAGGAACTACTCCACGGTCGCCAGTTGTCTCGGAAACTCTGATTTGCCCTCCATTGAAGTAGGTAAAGTTTGATCTTTGCTACGGTTTACATAGAATTCCAGATTAAGTATTTGAGCTTCACAGTGCTAGATCTTGCAATTTTCCTTATTATTGATGCTTTAAACATGATTCTGATTACTTACTCGTTTGTTTCTTGCATTTTTAATCATTGAAATTGCATTAAACCGAGTCGGGCAACCATTGATGACCTTCA